GAAAAAATGAAGTTATTGAGAAGCTCAAGCCAGCCAAGGAGCTGTTACAGGAACAGGGCAGAGTGTTGGAGAAAGCTACTCTGAGAAGCATAAAGCTTGAATCATTACACAGAACTCTAACAAGGGAATCAGACCAGAAACTCCAAGAAGCATTAGCTAATTTCACCAGAAGAGATTCTGAGGCAAAATCTTTGAAAGAGATATTAACGAGTCTTGAAGGTCAAGTTAAAAGTCATCAAGAGCTGCTAGCTGAAGCAAATGAAAGATATGCAGCTGTGAAGGAAAAGCTTGATCAGATTGTAGAGAAGCTAGCTTCTTCTGAGAATGCCAATAAAGACTTGAAACAAAAGATTTTGAATGAAAAGGGTAAAGCCGAACAGCATGTTGCAGAAAAGGAATTGTTAGCCGACACCAACTTACAGCTCAGTAAACAGGCCAAAGAACTTGACGAAAAGTTGAATTTGGTCCTTTCTGAGAAGAAACTCTCTGATAATCAGCTTGCTTCTCACACGAGCACTAATGCTGAATTAATAAAGCAGCACTCAAGAGCCATTGAACTTCAATTAGCAACCGAAGCCCACATTTCAGGTGCAGAAGCACAGTTGGAAAGAGAAGTTAAGAAAAAATCAGAGCTTACTCAAGAACTGGCTTCATACAAGTCCAAGTTAAGTGATTTGGAAACCAAACTGTCGACTGTTTCTTCTGAGAAAAATGATGCAGTTGAAAAGCTTCGGTCTGCAAAAAAGGAAATAGAATATTTGAGACAGCCACTTCAGGTTAGTACTCTAGCACAATATATCTCAAAAGATTTCCCATCAATTAATGGTTTTCAAGTTTTGAAAACCTAATTACTTAATTACCAAGATGAATTTCTTTAATTTGTAAATCATCTGATGTAGTTTAAGATCAAAATGTGCCACAAATGCTTTAATAGTCTTGAAAGAGTCTTTCATAGAAACCGGAGAAAAAGTATCTTAAAAGTCAATGTTTTCCTTTACGAGTAAAGCCATTTGGAACAAGACGAGCCTTATATCTCTTCATTTCACTATTCAAATCCCTCTTGATTTTAAATATCTATTTACAACCAATGGGTTTCGTACCTTTAGGCAATGGAATGAGTTCCCAAACATCATTGTCTTTCATGGGCTTTATCTTTTTATTCATGACATGAATCCACCCTTGAGAATTGATCCTTTGCATGGATTGATGAAAATTGGTTGATCAGATCTTCTTCCATCAATATAATGCCATCTTTATTTTTTAGAGAAAAACTATAAAGTCTCCGAAATTGTCTTTCTCCTTTCTCTAGTTGATTTCCTTAATGGCACTTGTTCTTGAGGTTTTTAAGTTTTTTTTTTCTAGAACAATCTCTTGATTATTTATAAAGATTTCGTAATAATGTTTTGATCCGAAATTGCTTCTTGAACAAGATCTGGAGCAAGAATTTATCTCTTGTCCTAATCATTGTCAATTGCAACAGAAGATATATATACATATGCTTCCTCAAAGACAAATTCCTGTCATTAAAACCTTATCCTCCTCAAACTCTACACCATCAAGGAATCAGACATTTGCTGTTTTGAAAATTGACCAAATAGTGAGATGTTCAAAAAAAATGTAACCCCTTAACAGTTGCTTTACTTGAAACTTTGTTGAGAATTCAAGTTGCAGTCCTTAGTGCTTCTTCCTAAAGAGATTCTGATAAAGTGAAATAACTAATCATAGTACTTATCATGTCTTAAGTTTTCTATTTTGCCTCTCGGTAACAAGATTCATGCTAAGGGACCCTAGCTTAGTGTATTGTGGGACGATTCCATATTCGTCTAGAAATTTTAGCAAAAGGCCATGGATATTATTCTCGTGATCCATCATATCTACCACAGTATTCACCACCATGACCAGATTTGACGTGTTTTTATTCTTTTGCTGAGTTGATTTTCAACTTTAGCTTTGTACACCTTGAACATGTCCAGCATTTGGGATTTCTCATAGATGAGATATAGGTAACCATAATGAGAAAAATTCAATTATGAAGATAATAAATTACTGTTGATCATTCCAATAACTCAAAGGAAATGGCTCACAATATCCGTATAAATTAGTTCTAAGACATCCGAAGTCATATTGACACCTAATCTCCTTATATTTGTTTGTTTCTCCTTAATGTAATTAATATAAATACTTAATTCTGAAAAATTAAGGGGATCAAGAATTCCTTCTGAAACAAGATTTTTCATTCTCTTTTAAGAGATGTGACCTAATTGCTTGTATCATAACAAAAGGAAATTCTTATTGATTAATTTATATTTAATACCACATGAATTCACATACAATGTTTATTTATAAGAGGCAACCATATTAAGCAAATACAGGTTATCATAACCAGATAAAAGATTAATACCCACAATATTTGAATTAAGAAAATGACTAAATGGACTATTTCCAATTGAACAAAAGTAATTAAATTTGTCCAATGTAGAAACAGAAACAAATTTCGTCCAAAATACAGTACCGCAAATATCTTTTTTAAATTCAAATAATAACTAGCATTTAATGATAACCTAAAAGTTCTTATAACCTAAGCTTTAACTGATTTACCACCGCCCACATAGATAAATATTTCAACATCAATTGGCTTTTAGTTGTTCAGTTAACCTCGCATGGACATTATTTGAGCAATGATACCAAAATTTATCTACCATGTATGTCTAGGTATTGAAACTAAATTAACCTAAAAAACAAACAAAAGTGTTAAATGTACTTTTCTTTACACATCAAGCATGGTATTTAGTAGTCTCTCTTTATGTATTCCAAATTTTCACAAAAGTAACATCCAGATGATTAATCCTTTTTAGGCTTTTGCTGTTTCTTCTGAACTAAACCAGATGCAGCTTCTTTATTCTTTAACTTGTCATATCTGCATAAGTTATGTAGATTACTTTGGTAACATGTTGTTTCAACTAATCTATTTTAGAAAATTAGTAATCCGAAATAAATACTAAGTACAAAGATTAGAAATTGATTGCCCCTTTATATCTTCTTTTTCTTTTTTGTTGCTAAAAGAGGGGGTGGGGGAGGGGGAAAGTTATGTGTGAACAGGAAACCAACGCTGCAACGCCCGAACGTTGGAATTGGCTCTGATACCACTTATTCGAATTTTTATGAAACTCTGAATCTCAAAACTTAAAAATCTAAATACTTAATTACCAAAAACTTCCATGTTAAATCACCAAGAGAATTATAAAGTGCGGAACATATCTTAATTCATTGGAACTGATTATTGGTTTTGCTTCTTGATCCATAATCTTGATTCTTTAATTCTTTAATCTTAATTCATAATTGTAGATTGTTTGTTCTTAATTATGGGTTTTTTGGATCTTCCTCTTCAATATATTTTCTCTTGTATTCTTGTATTGATGAGATGACATAAAACATGATAAAATTATATATGAATTGGGAACCATAACTACTTACAGATGTTGCCAACATGGCAAATTAAATATTTTCCCAACAAAAAATCTCTTTGAGATTTTGAGGAATGAATTGAGTATTTCACAACAGAAATTGGAGAGCGTCGAAATTGACGTCAAGCTTGCACGAAGGAGAAAAAATGAAGTTATTGAGAAGCTCAAGTCAACCGTGAAGCAGTTACAGGAAAAGTTGAATTTGGCATTTTCTGAGAAGAAAGTTTCTGATAAGCAGCTTGCTTCTCACATGAGCACTATCACTGAATTAAGAAAGCAGCAGTCAAGAGCCGTTGAACTTCAATTAGCAGCCGAAGCCCGCATTTCAGGGGCAGAAGCACAGTTGAAAAGAGAAGTTGAGGAAAAATCAAAGCTTAAACAAGAAGTGGCTTCATGTACGTCCAAGTTGAAAAGCGAAGTTGAGGAAAAATCAAAGCTTCAACAAGAACTGGCTCCATGGACGTCCAAGTTGAAAAGCGAAGTTGAGGAAAAATCAAAGCTTCAACAAGTACTGGCTTCATGGACGTCCAAGTTGAAAAGCGAAGTTGAGGAAAAATCAAAGCTTCAACAAGAACTGGCTTCACGTACGTCCAAGTTGAAAAGCGAAGTTGAGGAAAAATCAAAGCTTCAACAAGAACTGGCTTCATGTACGTCGGAAAAATCAAAGCTTAAACAAGAACTGGCTTCATGTACGTCCAAGTTGAATAGCGAAGTTGAGGAAAAATCAAAGCTTCAACAAGAACTGGCTTCACTTATGTAGCACGGACACTCTAACTAGGGTATCGTGTCCGTGACACTCTATAATAATCATTTTCCTTTCTTACTATAGCCATTATATATTTTTAACTCAAAGTTTTTAATAAATAACAATGAGTTGAGATCTGGTCACAGTATTTGATTGACTTCTGACTTTTCTTGCTTTTGAGTTGAGATTTTTCACTTTCAACCAGACAATGAGAGATCTAACAGATAATGATGATTCGCTGGCTTCTAATCCTGGTCAAGTCGAAACATTATTAAATAGTAAAATATGTATATTTATACAAGTATACACCATGTTACATGGCATCCCATTATCCAATAATTGCTCATAGATCACCATGGTCCCTTCTCTAGTGATAACCCTTTTCTCTTTTCTTGTCCTGTTTTCTCTATCAAATGCTGCAACAAAGCCTAAAGGCTTTATTTTTCCCATCAAGAAAGATAGCACATCGCTTCAGTACTACACTACAATTCAGATAGGTGCAAATAGTACCTCACTGGATGTAGTCGTTGATCTTGGTGGCAAATTCTTCTGGTTCAATTCCGCCGAATACTTTTCAGCAGCATCCGCATATCGCCCCATTCGATGTGGCACTAAACTATGTAGAATCGCGAATGGTGTTGGATGTGTTTTCTGCTTCTTATCGCCTCCGGTGCCTGGATGCACGAACAATACCTGTTCTGATTATGCTCACAATCCCTTCACAGGCACGCTAGGATATAGCGGCTTGGGAGAGGATACATTGCACGTGTATGCAACGAATGGTGCTAAATAAGTACTCATTTTTAAAAGATGTCAACAAAAAAGAATCAATAATAAGTATAAAACTAAATTTAAACTATATAAATGAAGAATTTTAAAGAATTTAATGAACATGTCGACGACACGACACGTCGGTACTTTTTTGAAAAATCACGAGTCGACGTTTATCCGACACCTATCGTGTCGGACACACGTGTCCGTGTTAGTGCATCATAGGGCTTTACGTACGTCCAAGTTGAAAAGCGAAGATGAGGAAAAATCAAAGCTTAAACAACAACTACCAGCTATTGCTCCAGCAAAAACAGAAGCAAAAGATACGAAAAGTAACGGTAGCGGCTGCAATATCCTATAATTAATGATATGAGAGTTTGAAGACGATGGGTCACGTGGTTTGAATCCTAGACTTCAAGTTTGTTGAAAACTTGAATTGTTGAGAAATTGACTTGTTTGCCACTTGATCTTGTATTGGACTTCGAGACTTGAATTTGTTTTGATTTGAAGGAGACTTTGATGTTCTTGGACTTTAAAAACTTGAATTGTTGAGAAATTTGGTGTTTCTTCTCTTCTTCTGATTTCGAAATTTTTTTTATACTCGTGTTTTTTATGGACCTTTTGGCCCTATTTATAGAGAAATTTGTAACCACTTTGTAACCATCCAAATACATTTAATTAAAATAAATAAATTAAATATAATAATGAATTTTAAAAAGTAGAATGGGTCTTTTTCATGGGTTTCTGTAATCCAATGAGCTGATTAAATTATAAATCTTAATAGACTTAAAAATGGGATGCATATTTAAAATTTGACCCGATCCATTTAATTGTTTTATTTATTTATGTGTTGATGTCTATAAATGTCCCGCAATATTTATTTATTTATTATGAAAATAAATAAATAGATAATCTTGAATTTAATTTTAAAATTTAATTTGAAAATGAATTTTCGACATTATCCTATTGGTACTTTAGAGTTTAGACTTTGAACAAGATTCTTATCCTCGAAGATAAGAAGAGTTCGAATTAAATTCTATGAAAATTCAACAAACTCACCTCTATAGGTTGACTAAAGTTTTGAAGAACATTTTCCATCATTGCATTTTTTTTCCCCTTTTTTAAATCCTCTCTTTCTGTATAACTTTGCTGTTGGTGACATGGTGTTTTGTGATCATCAACTTTCGGTAGAAGTTCACTATCCAATGACAAGGAGATAGAAATATGCGCCAACCGCATGGTCTTTCTTTATTTTTGTGCTTAAATTAGCCTTTTGCACTTGTTCTCCCACGCCCCCACGCCCCCGGCGCTATTCAATTTGATTGGAAACTTAATAATAATAATAGTAATTGTTACACATTTTTGTTTTCTTTTCAATAACAAATTTTATACAGTAAAAAATCTTGATAAATGAATATTCGATAAAATTAATAATCTCGCCTAAATAATAAAACTTTTCAATCTCAACATGTGCTAGTGTACCAAATAAATAATCCCGTTAAATGCATAAGATAATAAATTTTTTTTTTTTTTTTTGAGATCCTTTATGGCCCAAGGAATATATAAAATAATACATGCTTAAATTCATAAAAGTTCATATTAATACAAAATAACAAACTTAACATGACAATATTTTCTTCAATTCGTTTCTTTTTCAAAATATACATCTAAGGTCTTTTACTTTTTCTTTGTACCTAAACCAAACTCAACTTCGTTCTTAATTTTTTGCAATGCATATACTACTACGTTTGGTATTTTTTTTTTCATTTTATATAAATTAATTATTTAGGTCACGACTGCTTGAAACGCCTCCTTTGAAGAAACAATTGGTTAAGCACAATTATCATTTGGATTATCATCATCATCGACCGATGTATTGAGTACCCCTTGAAAATATATCTTTGTTAGTATAAGATTTAATCACCGCATCATTTTCACTAGAATATTTTTAAAATGTGCTCATATTTATAGTGTAGACCAAAAATAACTTCACAAAATCTATTGATTCCTTTATCTTCACTAATTTTTGGTTCAACATTAATATCTTCATTTGACTGAATCCTGCAAAGTTTTAAACTCATTTCAAATGAAATGTCGTAGTAGAAAAAATATATGAAATTTGGAATGGGCGTTTTTTAGAGAAAGTATTCACACAAAATCATTAAACGTCACCAGAATATTCGAATACTCCTGCCCAGAAAGTATTTTCAAAAGATGGATGACTTCAATTTTCGTAATCAGAAGTAAAAAATCTACAAAGGAAAACAAAGGCGCCCTTTCATAGGTAGAGGCGCATAACCTTGACCATTGGATCAAATCAAGATCCATCATGGCCATTCAATAATTAGTTCATGTAATGCCCCAAATTCTTGGAACTCAAAGCGTTGAAAAAAATCTTCTTCTTTATTTGAGCTCTTTGATGTTAACCAAAATAAATTGTAAATGAAAAAATTTTAAAATTTGAAACATATAAAAATATGATCGGAGATATTTGTCCATATAGACTTGAATAATTATGGTGTAATTTGATTTTGGAAAACATCCAAAGGAAAACCAGCAATTATCGTTTTTGCGGCATTGGAAAGAAAAATATGTTTGGTCGAACAAACGTCAATTAAAAGTTTTGAAATTTCAACAGAGACTATTACATTCAAATATGTACAACATATAAAAAATTGAGGTCTCGACGATAATGTTTGAAGCACGAAAATATTGTATGACTATGCACAACAAAAAATTCGGAACTAACTCAATGCAGTATACTAAAATGAACATAACTTTTTCTCTAGCTAATATTTTAAGGAAATTTCGAAGGCCACTGTTAGAAGACTCATAAATCTTTCAAACCTCACTGATTTCACTCTAAAGCATGCATTGTAGCCCAAATTATCCATTTCCAAATAGAAGGACAGAATCTGAAATTCAATCCAGTAATAAATAAATTTTATGCAGTCATTCCAACATTTCCAAATTATGGCTGACATGAAATGTATATTAAACTAGATGAAGCAGAAAATTAAACATTTTAAAAGTGCCATCTAAAAGTTCATAAGAGGTTTACACGCCTGAATTTTTTTTTCTAGAAAGTTGAAAGTATTTCAAATCGCTGAGCACTTGCCACAATGCCACCACTGTCATGCCATCAACTAACTTGTAAATTTAGTAGGAATGAACACCACAAGTAATACTCGGTAGGAAACACTAAAGTAAATAGATAAAAAAATTTATGTTTTCTAGAATTGCAATCTTTGGTTATTTGTGTCACCGTTAATTTCAAAGCGAACCGATGATCAAGCAATCCGTATACTCTCAGGTTTTAACAACCCCTTTTCATGAATCAAAATTCATCTCTTAGTTGAAACACTAAGGTGCTTCCTCTTCATCTCCTAGTTGAAACACCAAAGGCAATTCCATTCTCTCATGAGTAGCAAAATAACATGTTAATGCAAATTGAAAACAACAAATTTTTACTCCACTTGCAAAAGTGTCGAAAACATCATTGCCTTAAATACTTCGAGTTTGAATATCCTTTTGCATTCAATATGTAATAAAATCCAGCATACTCTTTGTCCCTTCTTTAGAAAATTTTCAGATTCAAAATTCCTTGTGTCTATGGAAAAGGGCAAAAAAAAATTATGTATAGGTATAATAGTTTGAGAGAGCAAACGTGGATTTAGAGGTTGTAAGATATTTTTGTTTTTCAATTACAAAATGATAATGGTGATTGGCATTAACCAAAATGGGATTAAAAACAAAGGTAGTGGAATATTAATGATGTGCATAAATGGATTTTTTTTTTTTTAAAAAAGCAAAAACCACTAGTGTGCCTTATTTTATAACATAAAAAATGAGAATACACATAAAGGAAGGGGCATAAACCTTACCTCCAGTAAGTAAAAAAAAATTACAAATGTCTAAAATGAAATGCAGATGACAATAAATGAAATGTGAACCAAAACTAATGAAGATTACTCAAGGGTACTTGATGAGTTTGTTTCACTTATGATTTTCGCACAATTTTAACTTGATTAAAAGTTAGATCTTGTGAGTAAAAAATGTTTTTGATGTATTTGTTAGTGTTGTTTTGAAGATTAGGAGAAGCGGTGAAAAGAAGTATTAAAGTAGACGAAGAGGCCAAAACCATGGAATTAAGGCAGAAAGGTGGCGCTTAGGTGCTGTACTCATAGCTCCTAGGCGCTATGAAACTGAAAAAAGGTGAAATTTGGACCCGAGAGGCAGTGCCCAGGCGCCACAACCATATCGTCCAGATGCCACCACAGTGCCTAGGTGCCACAACCATAGCGCCTAGGCGCTGCGATTGACAATTTAGGGCGCGTTTTTTTTTTTGGCCGTTTTTAAATTCATAAAAACCCTACTTCTACATAAAACGGGGGCACCCATAAATACATCTTCCTCATACTTTTGAAGGGTTCTTGACATATTGGAGAGAAGACAACAAGAAGGGAGATTCAAAAGAGAAATTCAAGAAGATTAATACCAAGAATTAAAGATTAGAAGCATTCATTGGAAGAGGAAGGAGATCTTGGTGCAAGAATTCTACTTTTTCTTCTACATCTTTATTACAAACTTGGTGATGTATTCTAAGACAAATTCCTACTTTTCTTCTTGTATTATGAGTAGCTAAATTCATTGTTAGGGGGAATAATATAACTAATTGAGATCTTTTACATTTTCTTATTAAGACTTTCAATTTTTAATTCTTTCATGTGTTGATTTTGCTATGAGTTGAATGCATTAAATTATCCAATCAATAATTTGATGATTTTTGTGAGGGAGAATAATATAACTAATTGAGATCTTTTACATTTTCTTATTAAGACTTTCAGTTTTTAATTCTTTCATGTGTTGATTTTGCTATGAGTTGAATGCATTAAATTATCCGATCAATAATTTGATGATTTTTGTGAATTCTTTACAAATAGAGATATGAGTTTAGGATTTAGACCATGTAGTAAAATCCAGTACATTGGTATAATGAGTAGAGATACATATACTATTTATTGCGGTCATAATTGAATTCCTAGAACATAAAACTCGTTAACTAAGTTGAATTTGCATAGAGATATGAAATTTAATTAGTTGAATAGGCTCAATGAGAACTCGAGAGGGTTAAATTGAATACAATAGGAGAATTCGACCGAGCACTACATTAGAATTGAGTTTTAATTTGAGATGTAAAGGTGATCAATTGGTGAAATTATTCTACCCTAACATCCATTCATTATTTGACTCTCCAACCAATCGTGTGAACATTCATTTATTTTCTAGAATTTAGATTAAAACCCAGATTTTACAACCTTTAATTTGTTTTAGTCAAATAGTAGTTAAAGAAATATTGAATTAAGTGCTAGAAAATAGTCCTTGTGAGATCGACAATCCGGACTTTTAGGTCCACTATTACTTGTTACGGGTCATACACTTGCGAAACAAAATTTTACAACAAGTTTTTGGCGCCGTTGCTGGGAACTATTTCTTTTAGTCTTAATTTATTTTTTTAGTTTGACTGTTATTTGATTTGTTTATTTTTCTTTTATTTATAGAAAATTGTGTTCGTTGTATGCTCCATGCCCAAGGCGACGATCTTGAACCATTTGATTTGTAGATAGAACGTACCTTCAGACGAAGACACAAGAAACACAAACAAAAACAGCAACATCAAATGGCTGACAATCAACAAATTCATATCCCTATTCAGCCAATTGGGCAAATGGCCACAAGAGTGGTGGCACCACCGGAACAATAGCATGAACGAAGGGAAATAAATGAAGGGAATTTGTCAGTATCAATGTTCCTGACACCTATAGTAGCACCCATGCGCTCCAGCATTGTGTATCCAGATTTTGGGGTGAATAACTTTCAGATAAGGCCAAATTGGATTAATTTGATGAGCAACACCCTACAATTCTACGGGCTACCTCAAGAGAATCCAAACACGCATATCTCTAGATTTCTCAGAAATTGTCAAAACTTTCATGCTCCGGGAGTCAATAAAGATGCTATTAAACTACGACTATTCCCATTTACATTGAGAGATGCTGCATTAGAGTGGTTAGATGCTGAGCCTCACGCTAGCATTACTACATGGGAAGAACTAATCAGGAAGTTCTGTAATAAATTTTTCCCAGTGGCGAGGGTAGCTAAAATCAGATTAGAAATTAAAACTTTTCAACAGAAAGAGAGAGAAAGCTATAACGAAGCATGAAATAGGTTTAATGAGTTGATGAGAAAATGCCCAAACCATGAAATTACTATAGGTAATCAAGTGCAGTACTTCTACACTGGACTTACACCTGTCAAAATCTCAAGTCGATGCCTTAGCTGGAGGATCAATTATAGGAAAATCTGTGCAGCAAACCATGGAACTGTTTGAGTTGATTGCCACTACACATTCAATGTTCTCATCGGAAAGAGTGGCGCCACCAAAGACAGGAGGAATGTATGAGCTAGACAGCACAGCAGCTACCAATGCCCAAATAGTGGCATTGACAAAACAAGTGGAGTTATTGGTGAAATCACAAACGAAAGAAGCACATGCAGTGACAGCTGGTTCATCATACGAGAACTGCGGGGCTAATCATCTAACAGAAAACTGCACATCTATAGGCTATCCCGACGAGCAGGTCAATTTCATTCAAAATGGGTCTCGAAATTTTAATCCATTTGCTCAAACGTACAACCGAGGATGGAGACAACACCTAAACTTCTGATGGTCGGATAATTAATAAGGGAACAGTTCAAATAATGCCCAACAGGAGAAAAAACCAAGTTTGGGGGAGATGTTCAACCAGTACATGTAGAAGACTGACAAGGTGTTTCAGCAGATTGATTCTAACTTTCAGAATCAGCAAGCATCAATCAAGAAGTTGGAAACACAAATTGGTTAGATAGCTCAACAGCTTGTAGAACGCCCACAAGGAATATTGCCAGGCAACACAATGGTCAATCCAAAAGAGCAAGTGCAAGCTATTACTACCAGGAGTTGGGTGCAACTTCCAGAAATACATGTGAAGAGACTTGAGCGACAAGAAAAGGAAATAATGGGTGAAGAGGCCGGGAAAGAAGTAGAGTTTGAACAACCAACTGACAAGGAAAACGAAAGGAAAGAAACACCTACAGTGAGAGTACCCAGCCCCCTGAAGGCTTATGTGCCACCAATTCCCTTCCCTCAAAGGTTACAAAGAAAGAAGTTGGATAATCAGTTTGCCAAGCTTGTGGAGATTTTCAAGAAACTGCACATCAATATTCCTTTCGCAGATGCAATTGCCCAAATGCCCGGCTATGCAAAATTCTTGAAAGAGATCCTATCTAACAAAAGGAAGCTAGAAGAACATGAGACAGTATGCTTGAACGAGGAGTGCAATGCTATAGTATTGAGAAAGCTAAGTCCTAAACTAAAAGACCCAAGGAGTTTCACTATACCTTGCACAATTGATTCTAATTTCTTTGAACATTCTTTATGTGATTTAGGTGTCAGTTTTAATTTGATGCCTCTTTCTGTTTACAGGTCTCTTCGATTAGGAGAAGCAAAACCTACAACAATCTCTTTGCAACTGGCTGATAAATCGATCAAACGACCAAGGGGAATTATTGAAGATGTGCTGGTTAAAATTGACAAATTTATTTTTCCGGCTGATTTCATTATTTTGGACATGGAAGAGGACTCAAATATTCCTCTGATCTTGGGAAGACCGTTCTTGGCTACTGGAAGAGCATTGATTGATGTGTATGATTGAAAAATGATTCTTCGAGTAGACAATGAGCAAGTCATATTCAACATGTTCAAGGCAATGAAACATCCATTGACTTACGACACATGCTGCCAAGTTGATGTTCTTGAAGAGCTTGTGGCGGATACATTTGATATAGAGCATCACACAAATCTTTGTGAGGCAGAGCTTAGGCAATTTGAAGCAACAAATGCAGGAAAAGTTGAATACGTTGTCAACTTAGCCGAGCAACCCATAGGAAGAAGGCATTGGCAATATGAATCTCTAGGAGACAACCCTTCTCCCCCGGTACCATCAGTGGAAAAGGCACCCACTCTTGAACTTAAGCCTTTACCTTCCCATCTTCGTTATGCATATTTGGGAGAATCTTCAACACTGCCAGTAATCATTGTAAATGAGATGACAAGGGAAGAGGAGAATAAATTTTTGGAGGTACTCAGGCAACACAAAATGGCAATTGGATGGACAATCGCTGACATAAGAGGGATCAGTCCAACTCTTTGCATACACTAGATTCTAATGGAGGACAGGTCAAGGGCATCAGTGGAAGGACAACGCTGATTGAATCCAACCTTGAAAGAAGTCGTGCAAAAAGAAGTGCTGAAATTATTGGATGCATGAACAATTTATCCCATATCTGATAGTTCGTGGGTGAGTCCTATACATGTTGCACCTAAAAAGGGTGGAATCACGGTGGAGAAGAACGAGAACAATGAGCTGATACCAACACGGTTAGTGACAGGGTAGAGAGTATGCATAGATTATAGAAAGTTAAATAATGCAACCAGAAAGGGCCATTTCCATTGCCATTCATTGATCAGATGTTGTAAAGGTTAGCAGGACATTCTCATTTTTACTTTTTGGATGGATATTCAGGGTACAATCAGATAGTAATTGCTCAAGAAGACCAAGAGAAGACAACCTTCACATGCCCTTATGGAACGTTTGCGTTTAGAAGAATGCCTTTTGGTTTATGCAATGCATCGACAACCTTTCAACGATGCATGATGGCCATCTTTTGTGACATGGTAGAAAAGTACACTGAGGTTTTTATGGACGATTTTTCTACGTTTGGAGATTCATTTGACGGTTGCTTGGGGCGGTTGGCTCTTGTATTACAAAGATGTGAGAGAAGAACCTTGTGCTTAATTGGGAAAAATGTCATTTCATGGTAAAGGAAGGAATAGTACTGGAACATCAAATTTCTGCAGAGGGGATTGAAGTGGACAAAGCCAAAATACAGGTGATCGAGAAATTGCAGCCACCTAATTTAGTAAAGGGGATCAGGAGTTTTCTGGGACATGCTGGATTTTATAGAAGATTCATTCAAGACTTTGTGAAAATTACAAAGCCGTTGTACAACCTGTTGGAGAAAGATATACCATTTCAATTTTTTGATGAATGTTTGAAAGCCTTCAACACTTTGAAAGAGAAATTGACATCGACACCTGTGATAGTGGCTCCAGATTGGGAATTGCCTTTTGAGCTCATGTGTGATGCCAGTGACTTTGCAGTGGGGATAGTGCTTGGACAATGCAACGGAAAAGTATTTCATGTTATCTACTATGCTAGCAAAACATTGAATGATGCTCAAATCAACTATGCAACAACTGAAAAGGAATTGCTTGTAGTTGTTTTTGCTTTTGACAAATTTCGTTCTTATTTGATTGGGTCCAAGTTGATAGTTTATACAGACCATGTAGCTCTAAAGTATTTGTTTGAGAAGAAGGATGTGAAACTAAGGCTAATTTGCTGGGTGCTGTTACTACAAGAATTTGACACCGAGATTCGTGATAAAAAAGGAAAAGAAAATCAGGTAGCGGATCACTTATCAAGGATAGAGCAACAGCAGGATTCAGATGATATGAATATTAATGAGGTCTTTCCAGATGAACAGTTACTGTAAGTAGAAAAAGCTTCGTGGTATGCAGACATTGTTAATTACTTAGCCAGTGGCTATATGGATCCGGATCTCACCTATCAACAAAAGAAGAAGCTCAATCATGAAGCGAAATTCTATTACTGGGATGATCCAAATTTATATAGGAGAGGGGCGGACTAGATCATTAGGAGATGTGTGCCTGAGGATGAAATGAAACTGATTCTTTCACGAGTACATGCTTGGGCTTATGGAGGGCACTTTAGCCTACTAAAACAGCAGCAAAGGTGCTCCAATGTGGTTTCTTTTGGCCTACATTGTTCAAAGACTGCCACAGTTTCTGTAGGTCATGCGATAAGTGTCAAAGAACCGGTAACATATCAGCACGTCACGAGATGCCACTTAACAACATTTTGGAAGTGGAAATATTTGATGTCTAGGGGGTTGATTTTATGGGTCCGTTTCCATCATCTTACAACAATCGGTACATCCTGGTTGCAGTGAACTATGTTTCAAAATGGGTAGAAGCGAAAGCATTACCTATAGATGACGCAAGGGTGGTGGTGGACTTCATAAAGAAACACATATTTAACCCCTATGGATCACCTAGGGCCATTATAAGTGATGGTGGAACGCACTTCTACAATCGGTTGTTCCAGGCAGTTTTGCATAAGTACGGAATACAACATCGAATTGCCACTCCTTATCACCCTCAGACAAATGGACAGGTGGAAACATCAAACAGACAATTGAAAAGAATTTTGGAGGTCATTGTAAATGCATCTCGCAAGGATTGGTCAAAAAAATTGGACGATGCTTTATGGGCATATCGCACAGCTTACAAGACACCTATAGGGATGTCCCCATATCGTCTAGTCATTGGGAAAGCATGCCACCTACCAGTAAAATTTGAGCACAGAGCATATTGGGCATTGAAGCATTTAAACATGGACCTAGAAAATGCTAGAGAAACAAGAGTACTACAGGTACATGAGTTGGAGGAATTCAGAAGAGAGGCATATGAGAATGCATCCATCTATACGGAAAGGACAAAGCGGCATGACAAGAACATCAGGCAATGAATTTTTCGAGTGGGTGATCAATTGCTATTATACAATTCCTGGCTTAAGCTTTTTCCAGAAAAATTGAAGTCTCGATGGTCCGGTCCGTTTACGATCTCTCAGGTGTTTCTCTACGGGACAATTGAATTACACCATCCAACTAAAGGAAATTTCAAAGTAAATGGCTAACGCATCAAGCATTATGCGAAAGATTTCCCCACCGCTAAAGAGAGTCTTGATATAGCTATTCCTGAATAAATGTGGCACTACGTCCAGCTAATGACTTAAAAGAAGTGCTTTTTGGGAGGCAACCCAAGCTCTACCCTTTATTTGATTATTGGTTTTTGCTTTGATTTCGTTTTTCTTTTGATAATCTATGCTATCGTAGTAGAACTTTCTTTTGTTTTTTTTTGTAGGAGAATCCATAAAGGTTACATATAGCGGAGTTTGAGTTCTACAATGAAAATGAATGAGTGTGATAAGGAGGAGGAATTTAAAAAAAAAACGAAGAAAAAGAGGCAGAAACTCAGCGCCTAGGCGTTGAGTTCGGCGCTGCAAAATTGCCAAACGACAGAAACTCAGCGCCTAGGCGCTGAGTTTGCAGCGCCTGGTTGTTTTGGTAGGCGCTGCATTTCCTCCCCCACAATTTTTTTTTTAATTTTTTTCACTTCTTTTCTATTTCTTATAATCTCAACCCCTCTCCCTCCTCACAATACGAAATTTCCCAACCCCGAACGCAGCGCCTGAACTTAACCCTCACCCACAAATTTTTTTTTTTTCACTTCTTTTCTATTTCTTATAACCTCAACCCCTCCCCTCCTCACAATACGAAATTTCCCAACCCCTCTTACCTCTCTTCTTCTCCCCCAATCCCCTTAAGTTTACCCATTTTCATCTCCTTATCAACCCTTTCAAGGTACACTCTTCCCCTCTCTTTCCTTATTTAGTTATGTTTTTGGTTGAATTTATTTTATCACCTCACCCACATCACAATTCTTTCAATTACACATATTCTCGTCCCCCCCCCCTCCAATCCCCCTTGTTGTTTTCCACATCTCATTCTCGCTAAGTGTGAATTCCTCCATTCCAATTAGTTTCCACAACACCATTCCAGGTATGGCTATTGTATTTGCTCCCTATTTTTTTTCTCTCTTACATGATAGTTGCTTTTATGTGCCTATTTTTGCTAATTATGTTAAGAGGAGGGCTTGCTTTGTTGTGGTATCAAGAAATTTGTGTGTGGTGCAAATAATGTGGCATGAATTACTTCCAAATTATGGGCAATTTTTGGTGGAAATTTGGTGCCTTCAAAGTGTTTGATGGATTGCCTAGATGAACTTAGTTGGGTACAAAGGAGCTATTTTGGCTATTGTGCTAATTGACTTATGTGGAAATTGCCATGTAGATGATCGTGAATTGAAATTGGGTTTGGAATACATCTATTGCACGTTCGACCATAGTTCCCTCTTATGGCTAGATTTTAAGCCTTGCCTTATTTTCCTTTACTACTATTTTGCTCATAGTTTGCTTGTTCTACCCTTGCACAGGTCCAATGCCGCCTAAAAAGAGATCTAAAGTCGTAGCCTCCTCTTCTAGCTCATTTGACAGGAGCAAATTCATTAGTGTCGAGGCCACTGAACGATATAATAGCTTGGTGGTACACATGACCTGTATCCTTGAACGTGGTTTTGGCAATTATTTCTATGACAGAGCAGATAGGTCGGTGAAACTGGGAATTGTTTGCTCAGCAACCATGATCGGCGCTAATTTTGGTTGTTCGGGAGTTCTACGCCAATGCGAAGGAGCATCGAGATTTCTGAGTGTTTGTGCGGGATAAATGGATACCATTTGATAGAACCTCCATCAACAGGTTTTATCATTTGCAAGATATTAAAAATGACGAGTACTCTAGACTTCGTGACGAGGGTGTTAATCCTGATGAGGTCATTCGAGTCTTGACCACAACTGGTACTACATGGAAACATTCGGAGACTGATGTAATTAACTTCCCTACTTCTGGTATGACTTCGGATTGTAAGGCTTGGCATCACTTCATTTCTGGCAAA